AACTGCTTGGTTCTTTCATGCAAGACCATCTTCATTGTGAAGAGACTGAGAAATTGAGGGAACACGGATTGACGAACCTGTCTGAAAAAGGCCAGGCTTTTCTTGGTGCCTGACTGAGAGAAAAGAGGGAAGCAGTTTTTGCTCAAAAAAGAATGGAAGCATCACCTATGATTTATGTGTTAAACTTCAAGGCTGTGTCAGCTTGTTCCCTGGTACTGTGTTAATTGGGGGATGACTTCAGCTATGGTGAAGGGAGGTGGGGCAGAAACTGCTCTTGTTTATCTGAATGAATAGTCAAGGGAATTTTATTTATTTATTTCAACTTATATACCACCCCATAATGCAATGCACATTCTGGGTGGTTTACAGCAAAGCACACAAAGAAAGAATAAATACAGGGCAATATATGAATACACACCAACAAACAAAATCCATCCATCCATAAAACCACTGGACTAGCTAGCCTTTGATAAATAAACATTGGACATCACAGGTAAGATTACTAGTAAGAGGAAGCTTTCAACAGTTATGATCTAACTTCTTTAAAACTGCAAGGAAATGCACCTGGTTGAGCCTGTGATAGAAGTTTATTCCAGAGGTGTTGGGCTACAATAGAAAAAGCCCAGTTCCTGATGTTCACTTTTTGCCTCCCTTGGTATTATTGTTTTTCACATCCTGGGCTGCAAAGAGCTGGTGGGACAGGCAGATGATTTGAAGTCTGATTGGTGGACCATCTTGAAAGGTCTGGAAGGTGATGAATAAAAAGTTACTTTAGTTGGTTTAGTCATCTTTTAGAAGACACTACGCTCAGTTGCCATCCTGCTATGCTGTGCTGTGAGGGATGAACTCTGTGCATGCCCTGACACTATGCTAAAGCTACGCTAGTGTGTAATTAGCATTCTTATTTTCTTGTGTGTTTGCTCTGTGTTGCTCTTGCCATGGATGCATATTATTTATTCCAGATGCTCTTTTTGAAACTGTTTAAGTTTTTTTATATACTGTACTTTTGCCTTTTTTACTATCTTTAATAAAATATAAAAAATTCTCCTTTCAATTGTCTGGATTCTTAGCTAAGAGGTCTATGGTACTTAAAACTAGGTCTTGCCTTGAACAACAACCAGGAGTCTGTATGTTTTGTGGGTGTGGTGGCAGTTCCACCTTGCAGGGCTGGTGTGAGAGTCAAAGCTCTTAATCTTGCATTTCATTGTGGGGTGGTAACTCTCTGGAAGCATTACTGAGTCAGGTCAGACAGGTAGATTTTATTTATTTATTTATTTATTTATTTATTTATTTATTCATTCATTCATTCATTCATTCATTCATTCATTCATTCATTCAATCAATTTTTACCCCGCCCCTCTAGACAACGTCTAG